AAGACAGTCGCAGTCGGCTCTCGGAAGCAATTCAGAAGAAGTATAACTAGCCATTAACTGGAACTTGTAAAGGCAGTTACACATGCAGCTATTTCTGCCCTGAAGTGTGGTTGCCAGATTGAAGTGGCTAAATTACTCACAGCTGCCCACAGTCTGATTCATCCCAGACAGTGTGTGTGTGTGTGTGTGTGTGTGTGTGTGTGTGTGTGTGTGTGTGTGTGTGTGTGTTTGCCCATTCAAGTACACTGCTTCCTCTAAATGAATGCTTTACGTGATGGACTGACTGGAGGAAAAGATCAAACACAGGCCACGCACACAATGATGGATGTAAAGCCGTAAAAACATGAAAGAAACCTTTAGGAAAAACAGATCAGCAACAGTAGAAGGAAGACATGAGTCATTTAGATTAAGCAAGTTACTAAACAGAGACACACACAGTCCTATTGAATTGCAGAGTGAAAGAGAGGAAAAGGCAGTTCCAGGAGATCATCATAAACTCAAACACAAAGGTCAGGAGAAACAAAGTGTGTCGAAAAGCCTTAAAAACAATGCTTTTGAAGGTCTACAAGGGGTTAGGGAGGGGTAGCCAAAAAAAAAAAAAAAAAGTTCTACGTTTGTTTTTGTGGATAAAGTTTGGAGCTGTTGCACACACAAAAAAGGGATTAATCAATTATGCACTATTAGTAATGAAACTTAAATCTGCCACAAACACACACATCACTGATTATTTAAATTCAAACACAATTAACCAAATATGTTTTGAAAACATGTTATCCTGTTATCTCTCTCTTATCATACAACAACCACCAACCGGGTAGGGTGGGGGCAAGCGCGTGCTTCCGGAAAGACACATGCAGCCAAATCTTTTTAAACTGCTCTGCTCATGCGGTGTCCCAGGGCAGTGCGACTCACAGAGAGAGAAGTGCCGTCTACCCTCTTCTGCATACATGAGCTCACAAATGCGCTCGATTGGCTAGTGTCCCTGTGATTGACAGGGGAAGGACGGTACGGAGGCCAATTTGCCACGGATTGCTGTGGCATCATTAGCAGCATTCGAGCTCGTGATGATAGGGTGAGAACGCTTTTCTGTCGCACCACTCAGGAGCCTAGAACATGCACGACATATCAGCTGCGCGATCACCGAATTAAAAGCGATAGAATTAATATATCTGTCGATTCTGACCAGTCAAATTTAAACTAAAGGCCAATATCCACTGGCAGTCCCTCTGACTGAAATACACGGAGGCTAAATTCATTTTTGTTCGGCATGTGCGTGCGAGGTGAATCATTTCCGGTGTGTGGATTCGACCCAAGACTTTTGAGTTTGACTCATGGGATTCAATGCCTGGAATCAGTGAATCGACTCTTTCTGGAATTCGACTCCCAGCACTGAAAGAAAGATGATGATGACGACGACTCAAGGATTTGACACACCATATACTAAAAGAAAGAAAGAAAATTTTTAAAAAAACAGTTTAACTACTTATAAACTTGTTGATTCAAAAAGCCTTGGGACTTGGAGGAATACTTAGATAAACGTTTGTTCAAATACTATTTTCGAACGATCAATTTTGTCGATTAGTTGCTGCAGCTCTAGATCTGCACGTCCCTGTAAATACAAGCAAGTTTCTATTTCAAAGTGATTGTGTTTAACCCAAATAGCAGTCATGACTTTCACGGGCAATTCAATTGATCAGCAGATCCAGATCCATGACAAATCAATGCGCTGAGTAAATGTTTGTCAGTGTGCAGTTCTGATTTCCAGCATGGCTAAATGTGTGTGTGAGAAAATACAAACGATTCTAAGCAAATGGTCATTTTGAGAAATCCCTTAGACAAACATTTGTTGAGCCCTGAATACACACATTTACTCCAACTCTTGTGTTTAACTATGGGTTAAGGACAGGAGGGGGAAAAAAAAAAAGAAGAAGAAAGTAAACGAAAGAGAGAAAGAGTAGTGTGGAGGATGAAATTGTTACAGGGAAGAAAAATGACAGGGAAAGAGGAAGAGAAATTTCATAGAGGGAGTGAAATTTCTCCCAGTTGAACTGTACGTGTGTGAGAGTGCGTGTGTGAGATCATGGGGTCAGGAAAAGTGACTCACCGCAGACAGAATGACGTCTCCACGCCAACTAGTGTACAATTGTTATCCCACACACACACACACACACACACTCATTCTGATTGTGGAAAGGCAAGCTTTACCTCACAATGCTAATGCTGCTAACATGGAGGGAAGTCTGTTAGCGTGATTGCTAGCTGCTGTTATATTTTGTTTGTTAGCCATACATTAGCCAAAAAAAAAAAAAAAAAAAGAAAAGAAAAAAAAAAAAAGACATTTATTTCTCAAGCATTTCTTTTCAAAGCCCATCAAATAAATGGGACATTGTGTGTGTGTGTGTGTGTGTGTGTGTGAGAAAGATATGATCTTGTCAGGGGACAGAGACTATTTCACAAAGTCTCTTCTCTCTCTTTCATTCACTCTTCTGTATCCATCTCTTTGTGTGTGTGTGTGTGTGTGTGTGTGTGTGTGTGTGTGTGTGTGTGTGTGTGTGAGAGAGAGTGTGAGAGTGTGAGAGTGTGTGAGTGTGTGAGTGTGTGAGTGTGAGTTGGGTGTAGCCAGTGTCTGGGTGGATCCTTTCCCAGCACAACTGCAGGCTAATCACACTATTTGGGGTGGGTATCCAGTAAACAGGCACGCACACACACAGGCAGACATACACATACACACATCCCTACACATACACTCCTCTCTCTGTAGCCCTACTACTGTTCCCATGTTCCTCCTCCCTGTGCTTCTTAGTTCAGTTCAATTCAATTTAATTCCACTCAGTTCAGTGTGCTTTACTGGTAATAGTATATATATGTGTGTGTGTGTGTGTGTGTGTGTGTGTGTGTGTGTGGATAAAGCTTGGCTTACAGAGTGTGTAAGAAATAATAGCACAAGCCTGTGTGTTTGTCTCATCCCTTGTCCATCTGTGTGTGTGTGTGTGTGTGTGTCTCTGTCTGTATCTCTCGGCCTCTCTCTCGGTCTACCTCTGTCTGTCTCTCCTTCTTTCTACTTGTCTGTCTCTCCGTCGGTTTCTCCCTCTCCACCTCTGTCCACCTCTGTCTGCCTCTCCCTCTCTGCTTCTGTCTACCTCTCCCTCTCTGCCTCTGTTTATCTCTGTCTGTCTCTCCCTCTCTGCCTCTGTTTATCTGTCTGTCTCTCCCTCTCTGCCTCTGTCCGTCTCTCCCCCTCTGCCTTCATCTGCCTGTATGTCTCTCTCCCGTTCTTCCTCGGTCTACCTCTCCCTCTCTGGCCCTACCTGTCTCTATCTGTCTCTCCCTCTCTTTTCCACTCTGAAGCGACTTCCTGAGGCATCCAGTAACAGCAGGCCAGTGCAGCCCACCTAACACACACAATACAGAGTACTTAAGACATTCTTTATCTGTGTCACACACACAGACACACTTTAGTGACTCTCACAGCCTTCTGTACACAATCCTTCCTTCACAAGCACATACTACAACACAATGTTTTCACACACACACACACACACACACACACACACACACACACACACACACACACACACACACACACACACACAACTCCATCTTCCAGTTCTTCTTTACAACCACACACACTCTTCAGGGTCTCTTGTGTACCTGAAATCAAGGAAAGAACCACATGCAGAAAGATGCATGCAGACAGACAGAAGTCTTCGCACTACAGTGAAAGCGGCTGCTTTGTTTGAGGACATTCATGTCTGTGTCTTCTTTATGTCAGTCTCAGACACTCCGCCCACAGACAGTCTGATGAACACTGTGCACGCTGGGTCTTTTCTGTCGCACAAACTACCGGACCTTCAGGCGAGCAACATGTATACAATGGACCCAATACAGTGTGTGTGTTTGTGTGTGGGTGGGTGTGTGTTTGTGTCTGTCTCTCTAGCCGAACTCATTCCAGATAACTGTCAGTGAACTCTCTTTAATCATTAAATATTAACGCTGATACTCATTATTCTCTCATTTCTGTACTTTAGGTCCAGGAAACACACCGCAGACACACACTTCATTGCCTCCTTCACACACTATTTCCTTCACAAACATATACACACACATACGCACACAAACAAAGGGCCTGTTGTCCGATCTGTCTTTGGACTACGATTCGCCAAGGACACCCTGTCCCTACCTGCTGCTTCCTTAACTCACATGTTTGACTAAACAAAAAAAAATAAAATAAAAATTAAAAAAAAAAAAAAACTCAACACGCAAAACATTACGTTTTCACATACATCTTAATGTTAAATATACAGACATCCTGCTAACACATTCTGCTTCCCAATGTTCTTCCACTCGTCATTCTCTCAGTCCATCTCATCATCAGATAGAATGAGGTAATGATGACACACCAACATACACACACACACACACACACGACATCCCACCAGTTACACAAACAGTGGGAAGCGAAACAGCTCTCCTCTGAGAAACAGAACGGTGGCCTGTAAATCAAACTGACCTTTGCGTGACTAGTGGCATGAATTCTGAAAAGATGAGACATTTGGAGCAGAATAAACACCTACTCCTCTGTCCATTCACCTTCAATTTGGTTTTGTGGTCAACTTTCCTTTTCTTCCTTTTGAAACACTAAGTCTGATTGGCTGCACGTCGAAGCAAGCGCTTGAGTAAATAACACAACAGCCGATAGCGTGTTTGAGATATACCACACCCCCGCCAAATCTAAACATAGTTTAGTGAACTCGCTAAATATGGACAAGAGCGAAGAATTTAGCGAGTGCCTTTTTTCAGCTGTGGAGGATTTCTTACCGCCGCCTACGAAGAAGATAGAAGAAGAAAGGCCTTTATCTGTCACGTATACGTTACACTACAGGGAAATTCTTTTTTTCATATTTTCCAGCTTGTTTTAAAAACAGGGTCAGAGAGGATATGGCGCAGCTGGAGCAGACAGGGATGAGGGCATTGGATAAAAGCCCAAAAGGTGGACGTTTGGTAGTAGTGGGGCTTGAACCCCCAACCTTCTGCTCAGAAACCCAGAGATTTAACCACTGAGCCACCACTTCTCTAAAACTGACCATGTCCTTACACCGGGGACCTTTCGCGTGTGAGGAAATAACCACTACGCTACGAAAATCCACGTCTGTCCACTTTAATGAGGATGATAGACAACGTTTGAGCCGAAGTTAACTGTCGGTGGTGCTGATGGTGATGGGTGATGGAGAGACATGGTCGTCACCAGGAGGCATCTCACACGTCTGAGTGGTAGATAAAATATTTACTTACTCTCACTGACAGAGAAGCCCTGACTGTGCAGACAGACAGAATCCTGTTCTCGAGCAGTCTGAGGTAGCAGGACAATGAACAACCCCAAGTTTGTTAAACACTCCTCCAAAAAAAGTGCCCGTCACATAACCGCCAACTTGCACAAACTCCACCCTCTTTGAAATGAATAAACTCCACTCAACTCCAACCAACGTAGGAAGAGGTACAGCCGAAAATGCAGCGACGAACCGTGTTTGCTGCTACCTGCAGAACAAGACCCACCTTGGGGGGCGGGACATATCTATGTTCTAGAGAGCATTTAATTGGACGAAAACAAGACTAGTACAGTTAGAGTTATCAAAGAATGCTAATCAGAAGGAATAAATTAGGGATAGGGGGTAGATCTGGCAAAAAATATAAGATTTTCTTAAGACTGGCTCACGATCCAAGGTACGATCACTTTTTGTTGGTTTCTAAGACAGAGCGACCAAACTAATTTTCATACTGAGATGGAAATAGAATAGAAAGGTGATTGACAGGAATTCATCCATCCATCTTCCATACCGCTTATCCTACATAGGGTCACGGGGGGGGAGACTGGAGACTATCCCAGGGAACTCAGAGGACAAGGCAGGGGACACCCTGGACAGGGTGCCAACCCATCGCAGGGCACAATCACGCGCACACACACACACACCGGACAATTTTGGAAATGCCAATCAGCCTACAACGCATGTTTTTGGACTGGGGGAGGAAACCCCCAAAGAACGGGGAGAACATGCAATCTCCGCTAGCAGAGTTGGTTTTACATTTTTATTTAACAATTTTTAAATTGAGCGATTCAAGTTTCATTTTGGTTTTTCTTGCACTTCTCTCTCTCCACTCTGTGCACAGCGGAGGAATGGCTGCGTCAGAAAAGTGTGCCACTCGGTAAGTCATAACGAGGTTCAGCTGTTTTTTTAGACGTCGCTTAAAACCCTGCCCGTTTCGATGGGCATTATATGCAGGTAAAATGGCATCATATAAGTGACGTGCTTTTCAAACACATTTGTAATTGTTGTTTGCTTCAGCGCTGTTACACTTGTCATATCTGGATTTCGGCAGACTCTTTGGAGCACTTTCTTTTGAGGTGGTTAGACGGGTTCATTGCGGTTCTTCCAGACGTGCCAATCTCGTCTTTGCTTATTTTGGAGACAACTGATGATTTTGCCGTGTCGATTGTATAAAATCCAGCATTTCCAAATAACTCGTTAATTTTTTTTTTTTCTTAGGTCACCAACTCCGGGCTGATGTCTGCCATACCGCTATGTTGCCAAACAAAATCAGGAGAAATCGTAAGCTGAGAAGCGGCTTACTCGTGGTTATTATTGGTTTGTACGTGTGTGTCAAGGACTAGCGAACGAAGTTTGGTCCATAAAATAACTTTGCCTGCCATGTACGAGCATCTGCAATGCAATTGACAAAATGAGTATAGTACTGCGGCACTCGTGATCTTTCTACATTTCTGCGTCCGCTCTAAAACGATCCACTCACAAACCCAAATCTCCAAAGCTAATTTTCTGTTCTAGTTATACTATTTTATTGGCATCCATAAACACTAAGTGGCCAGTACAAAAAAGCTCCGAAACACCAATTTTGACTTCAGGCGCACTTTAACAAGCCATGTTGTCATGTGGCTAAGAACCGCCTACTTTCACAAGAAGATGCCATTTGACTGACATTGCAAACAAACAACCACAGACTTTCCCCATAATGTGCATGGACATGCGAAGAACCAATCCCATCGCAACCTTTAACATCCTGAAGCTTGCATCCAGCTAAGTGTACGATATGCATCAGATGCTTTGTGGGCTGTGGGTGGAGTACCTGAAACTGAGACTAGTGGAAAGTGAACTAGAACTTCAAGTTCTTTTGGATTATGTTTGGTTCAGGTCTTATTGTTATGTGCAGTGGGGGGGGGAGGCGGAACTCCTAATATGGCTTCATTCAAAATCATTTCCTGTAATTCTGAAATTCATATGACTGGCGGAAAAATGGTCTTGTCTATTGCACACAAAAATACGAGCAGCTGAATCATCATGTTTTAAGTGAAGTTTCACATCCCTGCAGGCATTTGTGTGTGTGTGTGTGTGTGTGTGTGTGTGTGTGGGTGTGTGTCCAAGCCCAAGTCCAACAGAGACATTAGACTCCACACAATCAGAGGTCAATAACCTTATGGCATCATTCAGAGAGATGTTATTCTAAAACTGTGTGTGTGTGTGCGCGTGCGAGCTTAACAACACAAAATCAACATGAGAGTGATATCACTGTTTAAAAGGCCCGAGGAAGTGAACCATTGTGTCATGTTTGTGTGTGTGTGTGTTTGTGTGTGTGTGTGTGTTTAGGTCAAGTAAGGATTTTGTGGCCGGAGGTAACAGTGCAGTTTGAATGATGATTCACGCATTCCAGCAACCATGCAATTGGCTATCAGGAGCACACACACCTGCTCCAGCACGCCTGACACAGACGCGACGCGTGGAGGGAAAAAAAAGGACACATCATGAAGTTTGTGCTTCTGTTGATGTTATGAGCGAGTCGGCTCGATCCCTCTTTTCCTGTTTGGCTTGCTTGTGGTTTTCTCATTAGGTCTCAGCGTTTGGAAAAGCTGAGTAAGAAATGACCAGATGATATACAGCAGATGTGTCACTTCATACATTCTCGTCATAGGCTATAGGAAAGATTTACGATATCATGAGAACAGATGCAAGGAATAAAACATGACAAGGTGTGCTGTTACGGGAAAATAATCCAACACAGGTGTACTGATACAGACACAGCATGTCCTGAAGTTTTTTTGTTTTTTTTTCTAAAAAATTCCTCTTATACAGATGTTTCCCAAAAGTTACAATTTTTCATTTACTAAACCAACATAATGTTTTTCAACTGTTTATGGTTACATTTAGTAACCAGACACGAGCCACGAGACAAGTTCCTGTAATCACTTATGTTATAGCTGCTGTAAACAGTCGTTCCCTTGCGAGCTTCTCTTTTTTGTCTCTCTCTTGAAGTTAATAAGACAAAAAACATGCAGCTTGTCATGTTACTAGGAAGCAGAAAGCGCGAAGTCCTCGGTCCTGAACACGCTCACATGGAACATTTACTGCTACAAAAGCAATGACACCGGAGCCTCCTTCCATAAATGTTAAATATACATCACCATATCAAATGATCACGTGTTTTTCTTTGTTAAATGTCTACACGTTTTTAAATCCGTTTATTAGACTCTGATCATGTAGACCATGTTACTATAGAAACGATACCACATTACAACTAGCGCATTAATAGAAATCATTTGAACTACAGCCGGAACTACTATCAGTGCTGCTGTTATAGAAAATTAATCAATGCCTTCTGAGCAATCAGATTTAAGAATAGAACAACGCTGTGGTGTACCTATGAATTTATCACATAAACATACAGACAACAAACACATACAGTACAACGAACTGTATTGCCATCTATTTTGTTTGTTTGTTTCAACACAAATCCAACTCAGATATTCGACAGGTAAGTTACAATGAGAGTCCACAACAACCATCCATGTGTCTAGCAATAACAATGGAAAAGAAACCACAACTATACTCCCACTGAGAGGATCAACAGGATGTGCCTTCTGCCTAATTTTATTATTCTATCATAAAATTGCTATCTGCATCAAAATAGTGCAAAATGAGGCTTGCCTTTTTCATATTTTCTCACTGAGTTCATGTGTATTCAGGACGAATCCAGGCATTCGAATATCAGTGCACAATCCATCAAAAAAAAACAACAAAAAAACAAACAAACAAACAAACAAAAAAAACTGTCCCTCTCCTATCCCGCTGATCCAACATATTTACCAAGAGATAAAAATCACAGCAACACAATGAGGGCTGTGATTGTTTTGGGAAGCTCAGCTCAGGACTCAGGCGATATGATGAAACGATATTGATATTGTGCTACAATACCATCCTGATACACCTTTCTACATAAGTTCATTATCATCATCAGGTGCATCAGGATGGTATTAATTAATCCCTATAACTAAAACGTCTAAAAACAAAGCGGCACTTGTTGCCTTTTGTGCATTGTGATACACAGTGTGCATCATTAAGATGTAAAATCTAGTGATGTGATATTTCTGCCATATTGCCAAACCCAGCCCCCTAACCGATGTGTTTTTGACGTTTTCCTGTCCTCACCAGCCTCTGTTGCTGCTGCAGCCCGTCAGCCTCAAGGTTCACCATACTGTGCGTCCTGAGATGCTTTTCTGCTCACCACGCTTGTAAAGAGCGGTTATTTGAGTTACTGCAGCCTTCCTGTCAGGCCATTCTCCTCCATCAACAAAGCGTTTCCGTTCCCAGGAAAGGACGTTCCTTGATATTCGCACCATTCTGTGTAAACTCTAGTGACTCCTATGTGTAAAAATCCTAGATCAGCACTTTCGGAGAGCCTCATTCTGATATTTGATGTGAACACTAGCTGTATCTGCAGTGACTGCATGCACTGTGCTGCTGCCACATGATTGGTTGATTGGATAATTCTATGAACGAGCAGGTATACACGGTAGGTGCTGTTCAAGCGGACGGTGAGAGTGTGTATATATATATATATATATATATATATATATATATATATATATATATATATATATATATATATATATATATATATATATATATATATATATTTGTCCTCAGTCAGAGCAACAGTTTTGTCTACTGTATTTGTCCAAACTGTGTCGAGTGACTGAAAAAGGTGCGTTTGATGTTGTGTCCTGATG